GTGTATATACAGTGTATATATATATTTTTTTTTTTCATCACCTGCAGACAATGACTTTATTCTAACTACTACACAAATATCACTCCAGTTTTAGCCCCTCTGCCCTGGTTTCCTATGAAATCCTCCGTCTTACATATAGACAGTAATGGGCACAGCAAACCAAAGAGTTATGTTCACTAACCACTAAATCTCTAAACAAGAATCTTGGCTCCACTACCACTAATCTGATAAAGTTTCTCTAATACCTGTTTTTTATTTATACTGTCCACTTGAAAGYCTAACAGAAGAGCCAAAATGTTCAGACTTGTGAACAGTCCAAGAAAATATCAAACTAAGGAGGACAATTCAGCAGAAACACAGGAAGAAATGTTCTTCTAGTTTCCAAATCAACAACAAACCTGAAATTATAGTGAAAGACTGCCCCCTGCTGGCCTTTGATGTACATGAAAAGACAATGGCTCTTGAAGAGTTTTGAAAAGAATTTTAAAAATCTTGTTTCATTAATAGATTCGTCTTTTTTAGCTTGAAAACATTCATAGTAAAATTATACACAGTTTACTTTTAAAATGTAAAAATAACCTAAACGATTTACTTACAAAATCATAATAACACCAATGGGTTGAGTTATTAAGTTAAAACTTTCTGCTGTCATAAATAATTACAATACTTGTCACAAAAAGTAAAAAGCATTCAATATGCTGAAAATGTAAATATCATGCTAGTGCATAAAAATATAATTTGAAATTTTTAGGACAAATTAATAACTAAACTAACTAAACTAACGGATGCTGTGACACCTGAAATTCTCCTCGGCGGGACAATAAAGGATATTCTATTCTATTCTATTCTATTCTATTCTATTCTATTCTATTCTATTCTATTCTATTCTATTCTATTCTAAACATGATATAAACATGTTTTTCTAATATTAACTAAATACATGTTTGCAGGTAATTTTAGTCCATGTTTTATATGTTGTTCTACAAGCGATAAAACTGTAAAATGTTTAATCTGAAGTTAATATAATATATATCAATATAGCAGAATTTACAATACTGATCAGAGAGTTTATCTTGATTCTGTTCATTG